CCCCAAAACCCCAAAACCCCAAAACCCCATTAAGTTGATAGTCGATTATTTTATTATTTAATTTTAAAATAAAAACTGTAAAAATATAATTAAATATAAGTAATTAAGAAAAAGTTATGGAAGATAAGAAGTAAAGATTGTTGGAACTGGTAGGAAGATAGCCAAGAAATCAATCATTCAGTCACAAAAAGAATAAGAAAGTTTCTTCAATAGAATCATAGAAGTCTCTTAAATTCACAAATAACATAACAATGGACAGATCTCATATTAACTAGTCAATGCCTGTTTCTAATAAATATACAAACGCTTACAATCCTTATGAGAAAAATAAGCAATCAGCATTCTACTTAATCAAGTCAAACTAAGAGTCTTTCAAAATTCAAGAAAAACTTGATACTAATAGATAAATTAGGAAAAACGACTCAAGTCAAGATGGATCAGATGTGGAAAACTCTGATGGGTAAAATTACAGTGAATACAGTGATGAAAGAGAGCTAAGGCTATTGAGGGAAAAAGAAGAAGCAAATGTTAAGACTTCATAAGATAACTAAAAACCAACCAATAATTATATCGGGCAATAATGAAGGCTAAACTAATTCATGTAGATTCAAGAAAATATACCTTAAAGAGAGGACTATAATCACAGTTTTAATACTTATGCTTCGGTATTTTGACACATTATTAATCTTTCTAAACTAGGCTTATACAAAGAGTAGAAATATCGTCAGTAGTGGAAATCCATATGAAACAACTTATTTTTAAGGGGGCAAACTTCCCATATTTGAAAAACTTCGAACAGCTTAAAATCAATAGAGATTAAATAATTCCTTTCAAAATAATAAGGAAAAATTGTAATTATTTGCTACTGTTTTCAGCATATTTCTTATTTATATTATAGAAAATTTTTATCTGGGGGATCAACATTCCATAAAACTTTGATAAATTAGGACAACTCAGACTTTATGAGTGAATTCCAAATTGAAAGGAAAAATAGTAGAGCATCTATAGGCAGCAAGATAAAGTCAAAAATTTTGAAGCCTACATTATCAAAAACTCAATAAAAAGACATTCGGAAGATCGATGAAAAGTGATAGATCAATTATGATATCGAAGGTGATATAATAATGCAGCAAAGAGAATAAACGGGAGGATTAGAAAATACAGTAAATCTAAGTTAGGAATAAATATAAGGCCTTGAGGACTGTCTGCGTATATAGAAGTCTTCATTCTACAATTTGGATCAGTATAATCTCTATTATCAAGAATAATTTGGTAAAGATTTCATACCAAGTGAAGACTTAGCTCCTGTACTCTTCTACTACATAGATTAGAAAACTGATGAATATCGAGCTGAAAAACTTTGAAATTTTTTACCAAAGCCTTCTTAGATGCCAGATTGGTTGTTTAGGATGCCTTAAAAAGATAGAGATGACATCATGAAATCTTAAATGATTAAAATAGAGATGAATGATATTATCAAGACACTGTAAAGAAGAGATACAAAAGCAAATATTGAGCATATATAAAAAGAAATGAGAGAACTTTAGATGGCAAGTTCAAAGTAATCAGGTGTAAAAAATAGTATTAGTATGTATAAGATCAAGCAAAAAATGGATTAACTTGAGAGAGAAACAAAGCAGGAAAATTAGAAAAATCCATCATTAATTACAACTTATCAGAATACATATGAGAAAAATTTATTCAGTCCAACTAGTCCTTAAAATTAGAAAATTGTAAGAAAAAGCTCATTAGCAAATTAAAAACTCTAAGATTCTTTTAACAATACGTAGACTAAATTTTTCGATCCTAAGCAAGCTGGGGGTAAAAGTTCATCTGAAGATGGAAGAATGAGATACAAGCTCTTAACTAATTTTGTTAATGTATACAAGGAAAAAATGTTTTTGAGTAATACTACAGGTGCAGGTTTTTTATCTAATGCTGGAGCTGATAAAGATATAATGAGCATAGAGTAGATGAAATAGCATGCGAATGCAGAAAGAACTGATATAACATTAGATTTCGAACAATTTATGAGGATATATAACTTTGAAAAAGGTAGAAACTAAGATGGCAAAGCTATTCTTAGTCCAATCAGAAAAGAATAGGCAAATACTGAGGACAATAATTAAAGCTAAAAGAAAATTAAGTAATAAGGATAGTATACTTTGTATAAAAGAGAAGCTATAAATTATTATAGACCCAGTTCGAAGAATAATTCAACAAGTAAATTATAATAAAATAGACCAATGAGCACTTATGCCAAAAATATATGTGACTAGACTAGAAAATTAATGAAGCAAACGAACGAAATCAGGAAGAATATGTAAAAAGGGAACAAATCTTTTATTGAGGGAGCTCATAAAAAGCAAAAGGATGAGTAAGATGATTAGGAGATAAAAAGGCAAGTAGATCTGATTAAATAAAATATCTTCTCAAGAGGATCACCATCTAAAACAATTGATTATTATGCTCTCAATAGGTAAACTCATACAAATAGCGAAGTTAGTCCAAAGAGTATAGCAAATATAAGATAATAAAATAAATTACACTTTGATAAATCATTTAATGGATACACCATTGATAATAGCCCACTATAAAAGCCTAAAGGTAAAATTTAAAGACCAAAAACAGGGATTGCTCAAAATAATAACAAATTTTACCAGTCAAACCAGGATTTTAGCATTAAAGAATTAAGAGATAATGGAACATCGCAAGGTTCAAGAGTTAGATAGTAAAGCTATACAAACACCAACCCATATTTATAGAATTAAAAAATCTCAATGGGCCATTATAATGTTGTTAATTAATCTAATTCAAACATTAAAAAATAAGATATAACAACTTGTAAGTTTAATTACTCCTTTAATATTTTTTATATAGAGAATGCTGCTGCTCTTGCTTAGGTCTATGGAGATTGTATTAGTGAAATGAACAGCAATCAAGTAATAAGGGGAGATCTTGATTATACCAAGAAGCATTATATCAAAGATGTCAAGAATTTTAGTGAAAATATCATGGATATATCTAAAAACATTAAATCTGAGTAGATCAGATACAAGCGATTCAATAACTATCTTAGAAAATGATATTTTAGAGAAAATTGTAGCAAATAACAATTTCTTTTAGACCACATTAAGTCAATTGAATTTAATTAATTTTGATTTCATTAATAAACTTTATCCAGGCATCTTGGGGTTTTGGGGTTTTGGGG